GGACCCTCTGTTGCTTTTTACAGATTCAGACTAACACGGCTACCCCTCTGATACTAGTCTCCTAATATTATTTTGGATGTTACTAAGAGCTAGTTGGTATAGCTGACATAAGGAAGGTGTGGATTTGGGATTGCAAAGGGATCTCTGATGTTCACAGTTGACTCTGGAAGTACTACTTGTAATGCTTCCACTCAGTTTTTAGTCTTTAAAGTGGGAGGTCTATGGATTTAAAATAGCAAATATTAGTTCTTCGCAATTATCTACATACCAGATTCTGTAAAGACACTATTTTCAAGTAGGTGGTATTAACCCTTTTGAGTCATGGTAAAGCATTGACTCCTTATTAAACCACTATTGTATTGCACAGAAACTAAAGGCAAAATTGATTCTAAGCTCATTAGAAATCAAATATTTTCATCTTAAGTAGATTTTTTTTTTTAGGCTGTTTTGTTTTTCCAAAATCCCCCCTTTGCATTGCAGTCACTGCTTTTTTTATATCTTTTATAGGCAGTTCAGAAATACATGGTGCATTATACATTAAAGATTACACAGACAGAGCATAGGATTCTGGCATTGAGGGAGACAAAGATAGTTTTATGCACCTTTTATATGACTCTTCTTCCCAAATTCTGGTGCCAACTGTTTCATCCCACAAGTGCAAATCTGTGCAGCCTCTTGGCTATTCCCTCTTTGTGTCAGCTTGTAACATTCTTCAGTGATCTCCAGCCATTATGCCAGCTAGGGATTATTAGAGTGCAATTACACCCTGACTACTTCCCCAATATGCACCCTCTGCCAGGGGCTAAGGAGGCCAGAGCTCTGCACCATCTGGATATTCCCTCAGCTGATTGGTGAAGTCAACTTTATGGCCCCAGAATACTGCAGGGAGCAGGTTCTGCTTCGTACAGTATATATTAAGGGAAGAATCAATTCTCTATATAAAAATCAAGATTATAGAATGTGAAGTTGGCTCGCCACTGATCCAAAATTAGGGGTTATATGAATCTACTGCTAATAAAAGACCTGTTTCTGGAGCGACTATGAAACAAAAATATAGGTACATATGCCTCCATGAGTGTAGTGAGAAAAGGGACATGTATCATGCATGAATAAGTAATAATGGAGCTCTTTCATGTGTGATCAGATAGAAATTATTGGAAAACGTTATATACTATTAGAGAGAGAGAGACAATTTTCTGCTAACTTTGAGCCAATTGTAAGTAGAAATCTCAGATCTTAATCTCTTTCCTGAGACTTTTTAAAGCCCCGCTCCTGTGATTTACTGAGGCACCTTCTGAGAGGGTCTCTGTCCTCAACTCCTGCTTACTTCTGTTAATTTCTATATCTAAAGTGAGCAGCATAAATTTGTAAATATTTGAAGGTCCTGTTGGAAATTTTTGGAGCCTCAGAATAATTGATACATATCGTCCAGTCAGGAGGTACGCTTCTGTATATAATTCATCTCACTGCATTGCATCTGTGATGTTAAGTGACTAATACAGTTTAATGTGTCTCTTTTCTCCCCCCCCCCCCCCAAATTAGTATAACTGCTAAACAAATAGTTTAATTTGAGTTATGTAGGTAGCTTCCCCCTCCTCACCCCCACATCACCACCCTCAGTAAATTTGTATACCCTATTAGAAGGGAGGTAAGCACAAATGAATTCAAAATATTCTCTCTCCAGTTTTTCTGTAGTGCTAAATATTTGGAATTTTATGTGTGCTGCAGTGGAAAAATACTCAGATGAAGTGTAGTATGAAGGAAATTGTTAATAGGTGATTTGTAATAAAAACATCTTCCTTAACTCTCAGTATAACCTCTTTCAGTTTATTCTAATCTGTTTTACACGTACTAATAAACTTTGTTGTATTCATTCATAGTTATACTAACATTCAACTTTTCCTTATTCTTGCGTGAATATGACTGATGGTTCTTAATGTTAATTCTGTGTTTAAATTTAGATAAAAATCTGTAGACAACCGTTTCTCCCCCCCCCCCCCAAAAAAGTGAGAGATTAGTTCAACTCGATATCATAAGCTTTAATAATGGCATTCCCAAATTCCAATCCATATCCTGTATTTTGTAAAGGGAGGCTTATCTGGCATCATAAATGGTAACCTGGGATAAAATTTCAGAACTATGTAAATAAGACAAGAAGGGTAGCTAGAAAAATTTACCTCTGACTTTTTTGCTTATGATTTAATGTCAGCTTAAAATAGTAATAGTGAGTCTATTGCTAGTCATGGAACCTGACTTCCTTCAGAAAACTGCGTTCTGCAGTTCTTTTTGAATTGTTAAAACTATTATTTTTAGGCAGGTTGCCACATCCACAGTCTCACTTATTCTAAAGCCTTTTTCTATTATTATTATTGGATGGGGGGGGGGGGCTAGTATATTTTGAATGGGGATAGATCTTGAGCTAGTGTAAATTGTCATAGTTCCATTAATGTCAATGGGGCTATGACAATTTATACTAACTGGCGATCTGCCCCTGTAAGTGTATTACAGGTAGAGCACTATAGCAGATGATTTGCCAGCCAGGTTACTTATGACAGTAGTGGGAACTGGACATATTTTTATTTGCTGGGTGCTTGCGTGGGATCAATGTTAAACAATCGCCATTTGTTCAATAAGCCATTTATTTGTTCAAACCTTGGCCGCACCAAAAAGCATCTAAATCTCCATCTGTATGATTCACATGGAGAAAGCAAATTCTCTTCTTAATAAGATATCATAATGATTTTCCTCTAAAATAGAAACACATTCTATTAACACTATTGAAATTTAAAAACTAACCTTCTTTAAGCATTGTCTGTGATAGCAGGACACTTTTGTCACAAGAATCCACAAATACTAATTCTTCTCTCTTTTTTTCACTCCAGCTTACTGAGACAGGCTCAGGTATCAACTGCTTGGACTCCATGTGCTGCTTCTCAGATGGGGAAACAGCATGCGCATCTGTTAGAAGAATGTTGGAACGACTAATGGGAAGATGTAGTCCAACCCGGGTCAACAGGTGTGGAATTTCTCTCAATAGCCTTTGCTGCAGACGATTCTCCTATAAACTGGAACCTGATGAGCCTGCAGCTATAGATGTCTAGCAAACCAGTTGCAGGTTTTGCGTAATTAACAGGAAATGCTGTTCTTTATAGTGCTTTTTGATCCTAAAAGATCCGTTTCTTGCTTACTGGGAGTGCTTTTGTTAGAAAAAGGAAGAAAACAGTTTTTCAAGAAACAGAACTCTTCAAACTTTGTTTGGTCTTTCTAGTATGAGATCTTGTGTTGTGTGTATATATGGTATTTTCTCTGGGTTTGTACATCCTTCTGTTTAGAAAAACAAACCTCACTGTGCTGATTGTTTTCCTGATCCAGCTTTTTGCCTTCACAAATCAAGCGTTATTTGTCAAGTCAAAAGGCTTTTCCTTTGATACTTAATGTATGTCCTCCAAATAGTCATGGATTAGCTTGTTACTTCTAAAGATATACAAAAGGGTCGCATTTCCCCCAGACAATAACTCCATCATTAAAAGGAAAGTCTTTAGACTTTTCATCCATTGGTGGTTACTAAAATTAAATATTTTTTGTAATATAACTTTTATACTCTATTTCTAGAAACCAGCTAATTTACAAAACACAGCCTTCAATTTAACTTAGTTTGAAGGATTTTTCTGTTTGTATCAAAAATGTCAGCAAAATCATGAGTGCCATTCAAAAATATGTGCTAAATATCTTCTTGAATTACATACACTAAAACACACATTGGTGGAAGAAAAACATAAGAATAATCAAAAATTATTTGTCACAGGTAATGCTGACATCTTACAACAAACATAGCTGTGAAAGAAATTTAGAAAGTGATTTTGAGATCTACTGAAAACACTTTCACATCTCCCCGTTTCAAAAAAACTCAGAGAACTAGGTAACAAATTTGGGGGTAAAAATAAAAAACCTTTTGTATATCTTAGTCTGTCTTTAGCTGAATGATATCATAGTACTCCATTATTCAAAAGCCAAACCTGGAAAAAAATTGCACTTCTCACATTTACATGGGGTTTCCTTTAATATGTGAACAACTGTCTCTTTAAGTTAAAGGATGTGATATCATTCATACAAAATAAAATCTTGTATGGGTAATTTATACTGACATGCATTGTCAGTTCTGATTTTACCTTTAGGTGTTGACTTGGTATGTGGTATATTTCAGTTTTAAAATTCTTGTGTTAACACATTGTCTGTGATTCTAATCATCTTCTTTATTCTGGCTTGCTTATGAAATTTTGTTAGTTATTTCCATAAATCTAGGGTATAATTATGCAAAAATATCCTATTCTGTATAAGAAGGAACTGTTTATGATCAAGTAAATTTTTTTAATCAAAACTCTTGCTGTATAGTAAGCAGGCATGATGTGTAAAATAAACAGTTGAATAGAATTTTTAAACTACAAGATGAGCCTTTAATTGGTCTAAAACCAACATTTCTGTAGTGGTTGCTTTAGCTATATTTTCACTTATTGCTATCTTCTGTAACAAATGAAAACGCTGCGCTGCAATCTAGAAACTTTTATTTTCCACGCTGCTTTCTTTGTTCTAATGTCACCTAATAAGTGATGCTGCTTTTGGCCAAAAATTGTTTATTGTGCAGGATCTCATAAAGGTAGGTATAATTATTTTTTTCATTCTGCTAGGCATCTAGATTTTTTTTTTACAATTTCCTCCCTCCTTCGGTGGGATCTACTACTAATAAAAATAAAATATCATATTTGACAGAATATAAAGCACTTTAGCAATATTGTGCTATTTCTCAGGTTACTTGTCTGTTACCGCTTGTCATCTTTTTTCCTAATGACTGTACCGTCTAACTGAATAATTTTAAAGCCTAAAAAAGAGTTGCTAAAGCATTAGAATTAACATTGCTTTAAACAAATGAATATGCAAAACAATCTAGGTGCTAGTCAAAGGGCTTTAGAAGTTCCATTGTTGCTGCTGCAGCTCCAATTTTTATATTGAAATGGGTCTTCACAACCCTTTCAGTTTCACTTCATGAAATTAACTAAAAATGAATCTGTTTGCTTTATTTATTACATTTTTGTTTTGAGTGATTCCAGCTCCTTCCCTTCAGCATTTCTATTTAAAATCTAGTCTAAAAGTGGTAGGAAGATATATTTACATTCTTCCCCTCACTTCCCTTGCAGTACATAAAAGTTGCTGAATACTTTTGTTGAACATACTAATTATGTAAGTCACATAAAACAGTTACCTGAAGGTACAGTGAAGTACTTTTAATCCCAAAATATATTTATTTCTCAGGGTTAAGCTTAGATCAGGCTTGGATACAAGTACAATTTAGATTTTACTAAATAGCTATTGTCTTTTAGAAGATGCATGCAATCTCAAATGTAATAGAGTATTGTGTAATGTTACTGCTGGTGTGAACCAACTGTTCTATTCCATCCCAGAGGCAGCTGCATATCATTGATGAATTAAGTGATACCTGTATATATGTAGTTTGTAAAAGTGCTTTGTAATCCTTTGTAATGAAAAACACTTTTTTCCAATTTTGTTGATATAGATAGCTTGTGTTTATATACAATATGTGCACCTAATATTCTGTCAAATATGATAATGGGATATGAAATTATTATACTATCAAATTTTGGGTGGGAGCCATTTCTTTTGATCTCAAGGTGTACAAATGCTTGGAGTAGAGGGCAACCAGCATAGAGTACTGCAGATTTATTGGGTTTTTTTAGATATAATCAAAATACATTTTTCATTGTTTCATTCATTTAAAATAAAATTGAAATATTGCATGTTTCTTGCAAATTAGTAAAATGCATTTCTGTCTGTCTCTCTCGTCCATTAAACTAAACTGTCTGTCTACTCATCAGCCAATAGAGTATTAAAAATGCTGGATCACATGTAAGTTCTTATGGTAGAACCCATTACTGAATGATCTGGACCTGTCATTAGCCAATACACCTGTCAAGATACATGCGTGTACTATTTTTGGAGAAACAGCAGATTTCTGACAGAGGTGGGCTTTGGAGCATAAATTGTTTCTACTTTGTGGCCCCCTTCCTTCCCACCCTTTATTTTCAACTTTTAGTCTAATATGTTGACTTTAGCAATCCTGCCAAAGCAGTGGCCTATATACAGGATTTATTCATCTAGGAAAATAACTTACTCTTAGGTGAAAAACGTTGATAGATTATATCAGAATCAAAAAGCAATGATAGTTTGGATATTTTTTCTCTTGTCATACATTTTCGTTTAAATCTAGCACAGCCAATAGGAAAATACAGTAACTCCTCACTTAGTCGTCCCGGTTAAAGTTGTTTCATTGTTACGTTACATGGGGGGTCGCGAGCTGTCAGCCTCCACCCCAAACCCTGCTTTGCCTCCAGCATTTATAAGGATGTTAAATATATAAAAAAATGTTTTTAATTTATATGGGGGGGTCGCACTCAGAGGCTTGCTATGTGAAAGGGGTCACCAGTACAAAAGTTTGAGAACCACTGATTTAGCAGCATGGCATTCCCTGGGAAATATCCCACGCTCTTCCACCCGCTAACTTCACCAACTCAACCAAGCTTCAGAATCATCATAGCTGTAAACAGTATTAAATTTAGTTTTAAACGTTATTGTGTGTGTGTGTGTGTGTGTGTGTGTGTGTATTTTATATATATAGTTTTTTGTCTGGTGAAAAACATTTCTCTGGAACCTAACTTTGCCCCCCCCCCTCCCCCCTTTACATCAATTCTTATTAGGAAATTGGATTTGCTTAACATCGTTTCTCTTAAAGTCGCATGTTTCAGGAACATAACTACAACGTTAAGTGAGGAGTTACTGTATAGCTTAATGGCTATAGTTAAACTATTAGATTAAACTTGTTCTAAGTTAAGTAGCTCACTGCATCAGTATTAAAATATATAAATAAAACCCCAATATATTAACATACTGCAATTAGCTATTTGTGTATTGAGAGGATTTGTTAGAATGATCTTACTATGCCAAAAATAAATGTAGTATTCACCGTGCCTGATTTACATATATATTATTGAAGTTGCCTCAAAAAGCCTAGAAGCCCCATATAATTTCAATTGATAGCAGGTTAAATATCTTTTTCGTCATGTTTATAGTGAATTTTAAAAATAAATACTGTCTGTTCAGAAAATTCATGAAATAGCATATTTTTGAGGGTTTGAATGAATTGCAGGTGTCAGGGTGGAATTAAGTGACTACAGTTTTAAAGAAAGGAGTAATTTGCTTTATGCTCTTAGACCTTTTTTCCTCTCACCTAGAATTATAGGTTCCTAGTCAGCCAAACTTTTCTTTTATTGTTACTGTAGATCATGGAGCTCATCGGATCCCTGCTATACCAACGACAGAAGCATCTTGACTCTCTCCACAATGGACGCACCCACTTGTTAACAAGGACATTTGTTAGTGCCTGGTGGAAGCCATATGGTGCTTGCATATTGATAATAGGTTATGCATGAGTTCAGTGCTGTACTCGCTGTCCTAGAAAATGTGCTAGCACAACAAAAACATCTAAATACAAACCTCGTGGTCTATCTTGTAGCATAGCAAAACATACTCTGAAACATGTGAAGGATAATCTCTTCCACTACATTTTCTAATCTTATAACCAAATTATTAAATATTTGAATGCTTTTTCTGTGCCCATTTCCTCTTTGTGCTTCATACTAACAGGTTGGAAGCCTGTGTTTGACATTTTATTTGAGATCTCAAGGTGAGGGAATGACCAAATTTTTCTGCTCCCAAGTAATTGATTTGAGGTTACTAACTTGTTTTTAAATCTGGTTTTGTAAATTAAGCTGATTTTTTTTCCTTGGGGGGTGGGGGGAGAGAGAGATGTTTTTTATTCTAAATTTATATTGAAGCTTCTTGTTATGCTAACCTCTTAGTCTACAAATAAACAAAACTCTTGTTTCTTCCATGGGCAAGTCAATTCATTAATATATCACTTTTAAAAAAAACTGCTGATGGATTAGCTGTTAAGAGATTGAAATACCATCCACATATCTGTACTGGTGTACAAATGGCAAAAAATAAAATGTACAAATGTAAAATATGACATAGCCTTTTCCAAGTGGTGACAAAAGCATAGCATTGTGTACCCTTCAGGTATAATAAGCATCTCCTGTTCTTTACAGGTAATATTTAAGAGCCAGTCATTCTCCTTCATAACCATTATATCCTACATGTTTTAATAACTATTATTGATCCTAACATGGAAAAATAGGGGGAAAACATGTTGACTGGATTGTGCAGTTCTCACTAGCATAAGTGTTGAAAATGTAAATGATTTAATCCTTTTACCATTGTTGGGGGGGGTTGCATGTGTTATTTTTATATATTTATATTCATACTGTACTTCGAAGATTTAAGCATTATCTTCCTATATCTGAAGGATCTGACACATTGATGACAATGGTTTGATATACATGTATCTCAATAAAAACAAAGTGCACAGATGCTACTTTGCACAGAATTATAAATGTTGCAGCTACATTTTCTGCTATAAATGTGTCTGAGTTCTTGGGGCTGGGTAGGAGTGTGTGTGACACCCACCCACCCACCACCACCACCACTACTACTACTACTACTCCTCCTACTAATCAGCAGGAGGACTGAATCTACTGGTCATAGAGAGATACAAATAGGATGTTGCTAGACAGCCTTCTCCCACCCCGGCTTCTGGGATGGTGGAGAGTGCTGCAGCCCATGGACACTGATTGGGGACTCCATGTTTTAAATGAGTGATTCTCAACCTGGGGTTCACAAACCATTTCAGGGGGACCGAGGTGCTCTGAGGCTGAACCTTGGTGCCCCAAACCCCAGCACTGAAGCTGGGAGGATGCGGGGCTGAAGCTACCCCCCCAAGTCCCTGAAGCCGGGAGCCCCAGCGTGCCCCCTGCTGAAGCTCAGAGCCACTCTGGGAGCCCCCCTTCCTGTACACAGCCCTGAGTTACTCCCGCACACAGCCCCTAGCTACCCCCTCCCACCACCCTGAGCTACTCCCGCACACAGCCCCTAGCTACCCCCTCCCTGCACCCTGAGCGGTTTTCAAACTTTTTGAACTGATTCCCCCTTTGAGTTATATTTTTTGGTTGTGTTCCCCCACAGCCCAGACAGGTTGGGTGGCCTCCTGAGTGAGTCAGGGATGGAGGTGGCACTGGACCCTGCTGTGTGGAGCTGGCTCGAGCCCTGCCACCCCTTGTCTCTTCCCCCACCCCCAAAAATTAGAAGTAAAACTATGCCTATGCCCAAGGGTCCCCCACTGGCCCAGAGCCTTGTGCTCCCAACCCCACTGGACCCTGGTGTTTTTATAACGTGCTGAGGGGGGCCTCAGCAAGAAAAAGGTTGAGAACCCCTGTTTTAAATCAGCCTCTAGCTACTAAGTCCCATAAATAAAATTTCTGCCCCCCCTGAAAAGGAGAAGGAGGTGGTGGAAAGCTGCATCTATATTGGCAAAACTCAGACCTGTAATTATCTATCAGTGGTGGCAACGGTGAATGCTGTAGTGTAGACAAGGTGTGTAGGCAGGCCTGCTGACAGGAGGGGCAATCGCCCAGGAGGGCCGCAGGGTGATAACCGTGGTGGCGAAGGTAGCCGGGCAGGCATGTGGAAGCGCTGGCTATGCCAGAAGAGCGCAGCCGGCAGGTCGCTGGGCACCAGCCAGCGCTGGCACAGCACCACCCAAATGTCAGGCGGACCGTGTCCGCGGCTTGTGTGTGCGTGCACCAGCTCCACACCAATGTGGCAACATCATGCCAGGCCTGGGGACCCATTGACTGTTCTGCCCTAGGGCCCGGAATTGCTGTCGGCAGGCCTGTGTGTAGGGTAGACAACACAAGGGTCTAAGTGCCTGCCCCTGTCTACACTACAGCTTCCATTATGCTATCACCTGTAGAGCTGTATTAGCGGTGAATTACATGACTGATATCTCTTTCATAGTATAGACAAAGCCTTAGAAGTCTTCTACACTATGGGGCATGGGCTGCTGCAAGAGAGAGATTGGTCTCCATTATCCTACTTCTCCCAAGCTTTCCTGGATTCTGTGAACTGTAGAGGATGAAGTGTTAAGATGTCTCCACTGCTGTTCTCCTTTTCTCTTCTCAGATTTTTGGGTCATCCTCACTGCTAACACCTCCAATGCCTACCTCTGCTGCTGTTCATGGCTTTCCCAGCAATGCATCAGTTTGGTTCACATCTTGAATCTTCATTTTTGCTACAATAAGAACCAGAAACTTAACTTTTTACAAATGAAAGTTTAAATTCTTGAGAAACTGGTGGATTTATCAATCTTTCAATTGTATACATATACTTGGAAGTCTGAGTTAAATACTAGCACAGGTTTTCTCAGTGGTTTCTGTTCCTGAGACACACAAATTTTATGCCATGGTTCTGTGTGAAATAATTGTAGGCCCCATTTTCTAAACAACTTCTCATCAGATATCTGTTTTTTGCAACTGTTATCTTTGTGTTTTAAGCCATTATGCTTCTCTTCTCAAAAGTAGCCGTTGTCTGTCAACGTCATTCATTCCTTAGCCAGCCCTCAATGGTTTTCAGTGTTGCCATAGTTTTTCATTAGTTCTTGTGATTAGTATGTCATGTTTTGAAATCTAAATTATCGCAAATGATTTATTTTTAAAAAAAGGGGAAATGCTTTGAAAAATAACCCTGCTCCAAGCATTTATAACAATCCCATACCACACATATATAATGTTTTGACTTTTGTGGTATGAATAAAAGGTTGAGTACTTTTGTGCCAAACAAGAAAAATCTAAGGTTAGTGAAGAAATAAGCTCTTCCTGAATTGTTTAAATACATAAGAATTTATCTGTTTACCACAGGTACACTTCTCTATTTGGAGAAAAACTTTATCAGTAATGTTTATTTCTCATTAATGGAAATACATACTTGGTTTGCATAGAATACAGAATGTTTATCTAATGAATGCTTAGGAGGAAAAACAACAATGTTTTGTAATGTAGCACAAATAATGTAGAATTGGTTTTACTCAAGAAAGATTGGTTTTGTGTACACCTCTCACTGTTACAGTATATGCAATATGCCAGTTCTAGATTTGCTAGTATGTGGAATTTTACACAAAGCAAAGTTAACCAAGTATGTTGTCTTCAGTTATCCAACAGTAACTATTGATCTTTCTGATTGAGAACATGAGGGAAAAGAATGTACAGTATAGAGGTGTGTGTGTGTGTGTGTGTGTGTGTGTGTATAGTAATATATATATATATATATATATATATATATATATA